CTTATGGGGAAATTTGCTTCGGGTTGCGACCAATTCGGGTTGCAACCAGCGGCATGGAATGAATTAAGTTCGTAAACCAAGGTTCCACTGTATTTAAAACAGCAACGGCAACAACAATATTTAGTTATGGTCCTACATAAAGAAAATACTTTCCATTTAATCATATACGTCACTTAATAAAAACAATTTATTTATATCTTTACTGGAAATATTCCAAAACATTATATTATTCTGTTTTAATTTAATACAGGGCTTCTTATGCATGCAGGTACAGGTAAAACTGACCCATGCTTTCTTATTTAAATAGATGAACAATTTTAAGGATTCCCAAGCTGTATTTTGCAGACTCTTCTTTAAGTTGGACACCTCATGGCAGAATTCAACACTCCAAGAAACAATATTCTCTCTTTAACACAGTCAACCTTCTAGCTCAAGTTTATTAAAAAATTAATAGGACTTTACGATTGTAATGAAAAGAAGAGAGCAAGAAATGGTGCACAGTTTTATGAGATGTTTAATGTTCAAATATTTCCTTTGGAAATTTGTTGGGGAAAAACACCTTTTCTTCTTCTTTCCCATTTTATACTTCTACTTTTTGTAAGGAAAAAAAGAAAAGGGTACGTACACCACCAACGCTATTTTCTCTGCCACTCATGCTCTGCAAGACCGCTTTATCTAGACCAAGCTTCAGACTTGCTCTGTCAAACATCTCCCTTTCATAAGAGTTTCTTGTTATCAATCTGTAGACTTTCACTGCTTTGTTTTGGCCAATCCTATGGCAACGAGCTTGAGCCTAAAGAAACAGTACATGAATCCATCAAAACGATCATGTCACAACTGATGCATTAAATTTCCCATAGCATTATTAAAATTGACCTTTTGAAACCCAATGTAATTAAAATTAAGTTGCAAATTAAAGATGTTCAGAATTTATTTAGCAGATTTTAAAGCAAAGGTAAGTTCAATCTCAACCATGTATATTTCAGAAAATTGGTCTGCAATGTATGGAAGGACAGCCATGACAAGCTTTCAGTTAGGTTCTGGACAGTGTGACAAACTGAGCTTCATCTCACCCCTGAGCTGTAAAGGAGAACAGCTTTAAAGATCCTAAATCTTGGAAACTGTAGGATTTACTTCAGCATTAAGCTTTCTTTGAAAATCTAGCAAGTGCTTCCTCCTTCTACACTAGAACAGGAAAGGGGGACCAGAGGCCTTATTTTGTTACTGAACTGGCACAAACTTGAAAAGGAAAACATGGAACTGCCCTTTATCTTTTGGTGTGGTTCAGAAGTACAATAAAAAATTGGGGCATACCGTTTTCCCCTAGGGAAGGTGAACAATTCTAGCGACAAAGCATTTTTATTTTGTTTTCGGCCACCAAGATCTGAAATGTGTAGACTCTATTGGATTAATGCATTATCTGTCTTAACTTATTATTTTGAATGTTTATACTGTTTTTTTCTCAGTACCCTCAGCATAGAGTAGAAAAGGAAACAAAAGCTTCAATAAAAACAATTTGATAAATCAGCAGTAAAAATCTGCAGTAAAACAACTTAAAAACAATTAAAGTACAATTAAAGCAACATTAATTGAAATGGGATTTTGATTTTAAGACCAGTTGTTCTGTTGTAAATAACTGGATGAACAAGCACATCTTCACTTGTCATTTAGACATTATGGAGGCTAACTAATGAAGTTCAACAACTAGGTACCACCAAATTGCTAACCCACCAATGAGATTACTAGAAGCCAGATTTACCAATAGACTCCCAAACTGATACAAATAATGGAATGAGTAGTATTGGGGGATACAATCTTTTAAATTTTTGAACATTAAAGTTGTGAAGGGCTTCGCAGACATTGGTTCATAAAGTGCCAAATGAGTGGAACTTACTGGACGCTGAAAATAATTTGCACATACAATCCTGCGAGCCCTATCACGCTTGCAAGATTGTACTGTACTGCTCTCTCGCTGTGAGTCAGTTTAAGCAAGTCTGTCCACAGGCAACTGAGGTATTTAGGACCTAAAGCAAAGAGGTTTGACATCCAAACAAGTGTACCTGCAAATCGTTCTGGGGATTCCAGTCTGAATCAAAAATTATGCAAGTATCAGCTGCTGTTAAATTTATGCCCAATCCACCAGCTCTGGTACAGAGAAGGAAAACAAACCGATCAGAATCTGGCTTGCTAAATCGGTCAATGGCAGCCTGGCGCAAGTTTCCTCTTACTCTTCCATCGATGCGCTCATACAGGTACCTTTGAAGTGCAAAAAAGGAAGCAATGAAAAGAAGGCGTTGGTGGTCTAAATTAAGAGTTTAATTAATCAAAAACCTAAATATCAGTATGCTTGTCAAACCAGGCTATGCCGCAGTTAGATATCATAACGCTCCTGTCAAGTTTTGGAGTACAGTCATGTGTTACTTCAAAACTGCTAAGTCCCCAATCCAAATTCTGCCGAATATGTGAACCATCAGGTATTCTCAAACACGTATCATATAATATGATGGCAGAGTTCTTAATGTACAGGCCTACATTCTTAGTATACTGTCTTAAAGTAGCACACAATGACCTCCCAGGACTTATGAAATTATCATGGAGACTTTTTAAACCCTGATTAGTACAGAACTATATACATAGCACTATATTCCTACTTAGAGAAAAAAATGTTCAAAAGAAGAGAGTTAGATACTGTTTAACTGAGAAGCCTTTGGGCAAGAACACAAATCCTTTCAAGGACATGGGAACTTTTAAGTAATACAACCCTTTACGTATCCCATTAAAATATCACATACTTCCTCTTTCAGGCTGCAATTCTAAGCAGAGTTATTTGAAAATAACATGCAACATACACAGTGGGATACTATTAATTAAACAGGAACAGGAACAGGAACATGCATGGACTCAGAAAAACATGTGTATGTGTAAGATCAGAAGAAAACAATCTTAGCATATTGTGCTAGAGTGAGAAAACCACTTTGAGATTTGTGGCAATAGAGTATACACATGTTAAAATAAACATATGTCATAACACTTGGTTCTAATCTACTGCATTGTGTTTTTTTCTTTAACAAGTCTTCTACAAACCATGCAGTACATAAAAGGGAAGTGTTGTCTGGCTCTTCTAATATTCTTCCTGTGTGTAAGCAGCTTACAATGTAACTTTTTTTCATTCACATATTAGTGAAGCGTGTCATAATTTTTTTTCACTGGCAATCAGCCATAAAAAGCATAGCAGACACATCAGTAACCATCAGGCGTTTGGCAGGCAGCCATGATTCTAAAGTTAAACATTTTGTTATGTGTTGCAAATGAATTAGCTTCGATGATTCCAATCACAGGGGAATGTCAAGCAAGTTCTTCCAGGGCCCTTCAGAAGGCATCCATCCACACTAACATTGCATTAATTCTCAGGACTATACCACACTGCACAACTGTTACATAAGTATCACAAAGTCAAAATGATGAAAGGTATTACTCTTGATGGGTCTCATGCTTAATTCTCCATGTAGGAATAAAATATTTCCAATCAACGTTCTCCAAACGTTAGGTGTTAATATTCAGAAATATGTATTGCAAAGCATGGACGTCCATGTTCTTCACCCACATTCTCAGGTACTTTACCCTATCACTCCCCTCTACCTACCTACCTACCTACCTATTACCTAAAACACATACTTATGATTTCATCGTGCTGCTGTTTGGGTGTACGAGATCCTGGTACTGACTTTGGAACAAAAATCTGCACAGCTAGTCATTAAAGGCAAATTCACAGCTCAGTATTCATGCCCAGCTCAGTACCTTAACCAAATGCATGGAAAAGCACTTCATGTGACGCCAACATGGGTATTTGCAATATGGAAAACTCACCTTTTATGTATTAGGTAATCTTCAAGGATGTCAAGACAGCGGACCATCTGAGAGAAGATAAGCACCTTGTGGCCTCCTGCTTTCATTTTTGGGAGAAGTTTATCAATGAGGACTAGCTTCCCAGCAGATTGGATCATTGCTTGCAGGTGAAAATCAAGAGCGGTTGGATTGTAGGTTTCCCTAAATTCTCCTAAGATTTTTTCCTCAGCCCCTGCTCAGGAAAAGCATATAACAATTTGCATTATTCGTTTGTTCTCAAGTACAGCAATATTATGTGATTTTGGTCCGAACTGCACAAGAAGCATATGTCAGAAACGGAGCATAAATCCTCCACAATTAGCATAATGAAATATTTACGGCCATTCACCATCCCCTGATGCTTTTATGAATGCTTCTCATGCAAACTGTCAAGTGAATCACAGCCTTTACTCAACTGAGAAACATTTAATAATGTTATACAGAGCCATGCTGTTCTAAATACTGATGTAACAGATTGGATTCTCAGGAGGTTTTCTTTGGGGAATTCATCCTAATTATAAAGGCCTGAAGTAAATAAAAAAAGGTTTTTTATACCTACCTTTGATAAGATATGGGTGATTGCAGCACTTTCTGAGTTCCATCATGGTATTAACTAAGTTGGGTACATTAGCTTGCCCTGCCCCTTTTGACAAAAATGCGAAGTTTTTCTCTAAAATAGCTCGATAATATTTCTTCTGGATATTTGTTAACTCCACTTCAATAATGGTTTCTTCCTTTGGAGCCAGCTTCTTCTCTACATCTTCTTTCAGTCTTCTTAGCATCATTGGTTTCAGAATAGCCTGCAGCTTTTGCACCTACATAAAACATAAACAACTAGCTAAAAGCTAAATAAATAGAATTTACAAACCGTTCAGTCACTATGCAAGGCTGCTTAAGATTCAAAACTAAAAAGGCTGCTTAATATCAGTTTTCGATAGTTTCATAATTAGCCTTCCTATTGTATAATTTTGGGGAAAAAAATAGAGAATACAATTTCGAAGGCAGTACAGTCCCATGACTGCCACCTGCGGATAACACAGCACAGGAAAAAGAGAGCTAAGATTCAAGCAATTAGTTCCACATACTGAAAGAGCCTTTGGCCTTCTCTTTTTTAAACAGTAGCTTTACAAAATTCTTGGCAAACCACTTACTGAAACTGAAAGGAAATCTGAAAAATGTAGGTTGTAAGGCTTTGTTATCTAAAGAAACACAGTAAAAACCAACTCTTCTAGATTTGTTCCGTCTATCGGTAGAGCTGATGTAGCTCTCTGGACCCAATATATTTATTCTCCACAAACTAACTAAGAGAGTAGGATTCTGCACATATAAAGATTCACATTTTCTACCCATGATTTTTTCGGCACAATTCTCTTAGTATTTATACTACTGAAATTAAACAACAACCACAAGAAATTAAAGTAGTTACATTACTAAGCAACTGTGACATTCCATAAAGGTGCTGGGGAGGCCATGGAAAAAATCAATTGACTGGCATATGTTGAAATGGGTAACTGATCATATTCTAATTTCCGAATGTGTATGAATGTGAATCTTGAAAACGTAATAAAAAAGATTAATACCTGTTCCTCTGTTTTAAGGTCTCCGAATTCCTGCATGAATGTAGATTCTGCTGGGAAACGCAAAGGTTCAAGGAAGTGAAGAAGGCTGAATAATTCTTCTACTGTATTTTGCAGTGGTGTGCCGGTCAATAGCACCTTATGCTCCTACAGAAGTATGCAATGATGTACACAAAATATATTTGGCAAGAAGTTATATACCATCTTATGATGTAACAGGTATAACAGAAATAAATACACATATACTAATTTATAAATAAACAGTTGTTTTAGTAAATTTTTTGCCTTTAAGAAATTTCATTTTAAGGTAATGCTCATAAAGTACATTTTCTGCAACAAAATAAATGGCATGCAATACACAGAAGGAGATAGCTTAATGGGTTTAAAGGACAAGAGAATCTAGGCTATAATGCAAACATAATTTCATGCAACCTATTATTAAAGTTATACAGAGGCACAGTTATAAAACCAAGTTAAGCAAATAGAAACACACATCCCTTCCTGATTTGTAAGCTGCAAAATGATCATAAATCATTTGAGGGTGCGAAAATTCAACTCATGAGCATTCTAGCTCCCAAAGGCCATATGGTTTTGAGAAGGAGGTGGGGGAAGAAGAATGGAAAAGTGAGCAACAATAGCTTAACCAACTCAAGCTAAGAATCAAACATATTCCTTTATCTGCAGTTTAGCATTCTAATTTCCATGTGTATTCACCTTTCCTGAAATGAGTCACATCTCATTACTTCACAAAATGAATAAATACTCACAAGATTCATGAGTTTGAGTCCCTCCAGAAGCTTGCAATTTTTATTCTTCAATCTGTGTGCTTCATCGATAATAACACAACGCCATTCAATTGCATTGAGTTCAGGACAGCCCCCAAGAATCATTTCAAAAGTGGTGATTATGGCCTGGAACTTGTAGGTATCCCTAATAATGCGGCCCTAGGAGAAAGTAAATGAAAGCAAAACACAGTTTGCAACATTATTTTGAACCCCTCATTCTTCATTACATCTGCTTCTGAAGTTAATGGCAGGATGAACAGGAATGCTTCTTAAATTAGGTTGCCCTCTGACACAGAACTATATTAAACTTTACATGTCAAAACTGTACTATTTTGCAGCACATAAATGCATATCTGATATACAAGAGAAAAGAAACCAAAATTTCAAAAGGAAGTTGGTAAGACGTCAAATTTGTATATAACATATTTGGGAATAATATCATCTGATACCTCTAAATACAACACTACAGGTTTCCAGTATGTTAAACTGAGGGTTCAAATAGTTCTGAAGTACATAGAAATCATGTAAGTCACATTAAAAAATACATTATGCAATACACACAAATCAATTTCCCAAGTTTTCTATGTAGAATTCAATGTAGAAAATTACCTGTGAATCCCTGAAATACATCTCATATCGCTGTATCATTTGCCTACTAATCATGCTTCCATGATATACCACAACATTAAGATCAGTCCATGTGCGGAACTCTCTTTCCCAGTTGGCTATGGTTGAAAGTGGAGCAATGATCAGGAAAGGTCCTCTTATACCATTCAGAAGGATTTCATAGAGGAATGTTATCGACTGGATGGTTTTGCCAAGGCCCATTTCATCTGCTAAAATGCAGTTTTGTCTGAAAACATAAGTACACTTGTTGGTAGGGCCATCAGGAAGAATATATTTAAGATCTAACATAATTATTAATTGTAACTAAAATGCAGGCATTAACTTGGCTGCAAAACATGGCTGGAAAGACTTCAGAGATAGTAAGGACTGACTAAAAGAACATTGCGCAGTTCTCCCTTGACTGCTTTCTATGCCTCACAATAGGATTCCACTCAGTCTTATCCTATGCATACTATTCTTAACCATTCCCCATTTTATTACTTTTCGGGCATCCAACAGTATTTCAAGCCAGCCGTACTTCAACTTAGCAGCAGCTATAGTATCAAAATTACTTTGATTGGTTCAGAGAACATACCTATTATACCAATTGAAAAGAAGCCAGTTGAGCCCTTCCAACTGGTATTCCCTGAGTTGGTTGCCATTTTTATATTCCCTGGACTGTTCTATCTTCTTCCATGAATTAGGAGGAGGGCGATCCTTGGAAATAAATATAAAATGAAACATCATTAAAATTATCCACTTGAAGAAAAAAAGCAAAGAATGTATGGGGGGAAGGGCTATGAAGACATGTATCTCTGTAAATCTAGGACACTGTATACTAGCTTCTGAAATACAGTTGCTGAAATATGCACATTTATAAGAATAAATTATTTCTAGCAATCTCTCTCAGTAGAAGAGTTAGTTATCTATATTTATCTTACCAATCGTCTTGAATCAAGCCTTAAAGCTTGTAGCTGTTCAAATTCTTCTATTTTTCCTTGGTCTACATCTTCTTTCAATTCCCATGTGCTGTCTTCATATGGCAATGAGCACCACTTTACTAAATAGTAAGTAACGTGCTATAGTGGGGGAAAATTTACTTGTGTTATCCACTTAGCCATCAGGACTGTAATGTATAATAAAAGATCTATTAAATCTTCATCAGATTCATGCATCTACAGAACTTATACAAAACCCCCTTCCCAAATTGGGGTGAAAGAGGCTAAAACATCAATTCTCTTCCCACCCAGTGACCTCAGCACTAGTCCTTGTGGACCCTCTAGTCCTTGCATACCAAATAAATTGAGGAAAACAGTGAACTTCCCCATGTGCTGAAAGTTTACCTCTAAACTTTATGACTATCTGACAAGAAATCAGTGCTAAATAGATTGAGACTTTAGTCCTCCATGCAGGATAATATAAAAGGAAATTTATATAATAAGAAAAAAAGAGAAGAAAATGCCTTTATAATAAAATAATGAAATTGGCAACTATGATGGAGCACAAAGCAGAAGAGGAGTTCAAAAAGTGTAAATATTTAAGAAACACTAAAGGTGAATACGGTCCTCATTTAGGTATTGGTATTAAAAGAGAAATGAAAATTATGATACCATGTAACTCAGATGGAATTGCACAATGATTAAAATAAAGACAGTTATTCTTGTGTCCCAGTTTGAAAACAAACAGATATATTTTGTCCTGTCTTTAAATAACGCAGTATGTCCTTCCTCTTCACTCATCTAATTCCTACTTATGCACTTGCTTTTCAATTGTCATATAGTTTTAACTTTAGCTAGCTTCCTTTCCCCATAATTTTTCTTTTGCACTCAGTTCTTGATGTTCTGAATATTAAATTTATTGTTTACCTATTTATTCCGTCCTACATTTTATTTTTATAGCTCAGAGCTAACAAGCTGATGCAGAATGCGGCGGTGCGGGCACTTATGGGTGCCTCTAGGACTGCGCATGTAACACCTCTGCTGTGCAACCTGCATTGGGTGCCCGTGTACTTCCGGGTCCAATTCAAGGTGTTTAAAGGTGACCTTTAAAGCCTTTCCTGGCACGGGCCCAGGTTACCTGAGGAACCGTCTCGTCCCTATTACACCGACCCATCCCACCCGATCTGGCAGGAAGGGTATGTTACGGACCCCGTCGCCTAGAGAGTTTCGACTGGCAGGGTCCAGAAGGAGAGCCTTTTCTGCTGTGGCTCCCACCCTCTGGAACATCTTGCCTCCTGAGGTGAGATTGGCCCCCACTCTGTTGGCTTTCCAAAAGGGCGTTAAGACCCGGCTCTGCCAACTTGCGTGGGGACCCAATGGGGGTTCGCAGCACTGGGGGTGGTTGGGAGCCTGAGGATGCTCTCTCCACCTTTTTAGTTTGCATTGTAGTTTTAACTTTTCAGCTTAATTTTAGCCTTTTGTAGTTTTTAACTTATATATTTTTTCTAGGATTTCATAGTTTTTTAAAATCTGTAATGCTGCCTAGAGTCACTTGTATAGTGAGAAGGGTGGCATATATAAATTTGAAAAATAAAATAAATAAAATCTGGAGATAAATATATATGGGCTATGTACATATCTGCGTATGCATGCTCTAGTCTCAGAGCCCTTGGTTTATATATGGCTTTTTTCCAACTATACCTCTCCAGTGTCTTTATCTTCACAAAAGGAGACTTCTAATACCCGGTCTACTTCAGTATAATCAGGATTAAAAGGTTCTTCCTCCATCTAAAAGTTAAAATATTGTTATAAATATATATATTTTATTTACCTGAACTAGATAACACAGTGACAAGTTTGAAATCCAGAATGCTATGCATTATGATTGATTCGTATTACTCGCTGTACCAAAATTATCAGCAGCATGCCTTGGAAAATTTGCTTTCTTCCCTTTTTGAATCGACAAATCCATTTATAACATTTGACTACTAAAAATGAACAGCACAAATATATTCTTTCCAAACAACACCCAAACTGTATCAACATCACAAGGAGCAAATTGTATGTAGCCCCCTGGTAATCAAGACATTAATTAGTTTAGCAGGATTTCTGGTTAGAATTTTATACATACTCACATCTGCAAAAAAATGGGCTCTCTGTGCTTGCCTCAGCTTGAAACGTTTGATTTTCTGCTGGATTCTTTTATCCTTTAAAAGCTGTTGCTCCGTGGCCCATTCACAGTGGAGGTAGGAGCTAGTATTACAAAACAGTATGTTACCATATTATTGCAAGTACAGGTTTTTATACTGGCCTTTACAATATTAGATAACTCATGCGATGAAAACTGAACTTCAGTTTTTGCTAGTTACGTTCTAGAGATTTTATTTAGAGCATTTATTTCTTTGTTCCTGAACTCTGAAATCAAAGTGCATACATAAAACAGCACATCCTAATTTTAGAATTATATCCCTACCTCAACGTGCTTGCTAAAAAACTCCAAACTATGGACCTGACTCATAAGCAGGAATAAAATATTCTCGTTCTACTTGCTAATTGCTATTGCTGTACTGAAACAGCTCTACATGGACAGAGGAATTTCAGAACCAGGACTACGCTGTTCTAAGATTGTTAAAAAAAAAAAGGGGGGGGTAAGACAAACTCAAGTATAAAGGTATGCTTTTGATTTGGATAAAAACTCCAAAAGCACATGCAGAACTCCTTCATGCAGTTTTGTAATTTTAGTTAGATGTGACAAAGTATTCAACCAGACTTTTTATAGAAATAGCAATTTAACTATAATACTTACTAGTTTTTGTATTTAACAAAAAATTCTTCTGCTTCTACTGACACAGTCCCAGGAATCTGGAAATGTACATAACATCCTGTTTAATATACATTAATATATTTTATAATTGTGAACTAAAAACTCACTAATATCTCCATTTTTACTCACTTCTTTTTTTATAATTCTGGAAGATAAAATTTTATCTACAATTGCTGCATCTTCTTCACTTGGATTCTCCTGTATAGATGAAAATAAGAACAAAAATTTAATTATATAAGAATTATCTCCTCCATAGTGGAGGAGAAGGAATTACTTAATCACTAAAAAGTTGTGAGTGTAAGATATGAGAAATAGTTCTAGCTTTCTTATATTTATTATTATGAATCAATTACTTTTCATCAGACAATTGTCTGCCTTTTGGACTTTTCACCACAATGTCATCTTGCTATTTAGCTTCTAGTTTTCTTTAAGGAAAAATCCTCATGAATAAACACTATTTTATTTCACTTGTCTGGGGTGGTCTGGCAGTTTCCAGAAGGTGATTTTCTGAACTGAAAGCAGTTGTGTTCCAGAAGTAGTGTTCTAGACAAAACTGGCCTGTTTCAGAGCAGACCATGTCTGGAATATCACAAATCACTTCTGGTTCAGAAGATTAACTTCTGGAATACCACTAGACCATCCCTAGAATGGATCAGGATGGACCAGAGTAGAAGCAAAACACTTTGCACATTTCTGATAAAGATCAAACATATTTGGATTTACTCACTATTTCCACAAGATTATTTAATATGTGTGGCAAATAAAATCCTTGATACAAAGCTCTGTTTGTACTTTTCCTTTCAGTGAAGTAGGCAGATACACATATACAGGTAGTCCTCAACTTATGACCGTTTAGTGATCGTTCGAAGTTACGATGGCACTGAAAAAGTGACTTATGAGTGGTCCTCATTCTTATGACCATCGCAGTGTCTCTGCAGTCATGTGATCAAAATTTGGGTGCTGGTAACTGGCATGTATTTATGACTGTTGCAATGTCCTGGGGTCATGTGATTGACATTTGCGACCTTCCCAGCTGGCTTCCGACAAGCACAATCAATGGGGAACTGCATGATTCACTTAACAACTGCAGCGATTCATTTAACAACTGCCACAAAAAATGTCATAAAATTGGGTGTGGTCACGTGATGCCTCACTTGACAACCGCACCGCTTAATGACAAATTTTCTGGTCCCTATTGTGGTCGTAAGTCAAGGACTACCTGTATTTAGTTTTGACGATAAAAGGATGTTCTAACAACAGTGAACTCTCACAGCAATGGAACAGTTATGTGTATGCATTGACATTCCTACCATAAAAGGTCCTTTGAGCAAAAGGATTTAGAGAGCACCAGAGCACAATGCACCACATAGTATTCCTGTATACCTATAAGAAGTAGGATTACAGATAACACAATTTAACTGGCTGCCTCTTAAGATCTTTCCTGAACTCATACCTGAACTATGTAGTACAACACAGAGGTGTTGACTCAGCAAGCTACAGTACTATACTACATAGAATTTAATGACAAAGTACATCTGTAATCATCACTGCCTAGGTAAGAGAAACCCCAAACATACTCTCAAACTTCTATATGGAGAACTGTAAGAAGTAAACTATCCAGTTAGATTTTACTTACTACAAATAACTGTAAAGGTTGTTCAGCAGGCAAAGGAGCAGAATTCTTTTTTATTTTTACAGAAACTTTGGTTTCTTCCTCAGATTGTTTTCCTTCACCTTCTTCTGCATATTTCTTCCTTTTAATTTGTCGATTTGATCTTCTCTTCTACAACAGAATTACATGACTTTAACCAATGATTTGCAATATTTTTCTTTCTCTTTTTTTAGGGGTTGGGGTAAGACAGGTTATGGAATTTGATGCTGAGTTAGTACCTATAGAAAAATTACAGTTTCTAAATACCTGTGAAGTTTCATCTTTGAAAGATTGCTGAGTAGTCTGTTTAGCATCTGACATTTCATCTGAGGAGTCATTTTTTCTCTTCTGTTTTTTACCCAGTGTAATAATAAGCTTGCTGTTTTGAGACAAAAGACACTGTTACCAGCACATAAAACTTAAGCCAGGGTAGGGATGGGGGACATGAAACATCAAGTCACATACAAACTTTTCCTTTAATATTGCTAAAATGCTAGACTGCTAGGCAATTTTCCTCCCTGAAAGTATGCTTTACTTCTGTGGAGAACAAACTGAAGGAGGATATCTTCATCTGCTCCTAGAAGTGCTAAATATTTTACATATAAAAATTATCAATATGAAAATGAATGTAATGCACGCACATGATTATTATTATTTACTCACAATCTAGAGTAAGCACAGCATAATATTTCAAGCTGACAGTTTGGATTTCAGGTAATCAAGTAACACAGAAACTATTTCATTACTAACAACTGATGATGATTCCATCACTGTAGGGAAAATTATATTCTAATGCAACGGCATTAATTATTTCTGAGTTTATATTCAAAAGGTTACAGAAAAGAGAGCAATATTAATCTCATCCCTTCTGGTTTTTAATCAGAGGGCCGCAGAGACATATAATTTTCCATATTTAAAATCTGACAAGTGCTGCTTTTCACTGCATTCTCAAACTATTCACAATGTGATTATAATCAAACTCCAATTTAGATAAAGAGATGTCCTTAGATGCATATTTTACATAATGTAGATTTGATAATTACATATTATGCAGAACTGAAAACTGGTTTAGAAGAGACCTTTCGGCTGATCCAAAGCCCTGCTGCCCACAAAATTTGGCCTTATTCATTTATTGCAACTATTATATATAAAATATTACATATAATGTATTTTTACATTATATACATTACATATAAACATGGCTAGCCACTGGAAAATAATTAAAAAACATGAAATGTAACTGGCTTAATTTCAACTGTACTACATTAAAAGGAAGAAATGATAGATAAAACTGTCTTAAATAAATAGTGACCTTATGTGTCTGGGTTAATAAAGTGCCAGGTAACATTACAGTTGAGCAACAATTCATCAAGCTTACAAATTTTGCCACTTAACATTAAATGGTATCTATATGCTGAGTACATAAAAACCAACAAGCAAGCAAGCAAACAGAAAGCACAACCCATTTCAATTTTGTAAGTTTACAATCATGAAAGATTTAAGGACAGAATCTTAGACAGAGGATTTTAAGCCTGAACAGCACTTTTGAGTCCCTTAAAACATCTCCTGTGGGAGAGAGTATTCATATAGTCATCAATACCATATGGTCCTAGAACTATGCATCTCTCCAATTTTAAATTTCCAACACAGAGTGCTCTCATTTGGAAATTATACCATAAAAATAGCTGATGTTCTAGCACAGCAGTAACTTCACAACAGATAGAAATGCATCAAACGACATGCATATGACATAACCTGTGTGAGGTCATCAGGTTAAGTATTGCTAATTTAAAATATATGAATAATTACATGTATAGACAATATAAGCATTCATAACTGCAGTAATCAAGGTGACAATTTTAACCACGTGGGACCTGTAAAGATTTTGAATGCTGTAGTGTCAAAGAACAAAACACTGAATAAAATTTAAATACAAATTATATCTGCCAATTTATTATTTTTATTTTCAGGCAGCTGGAAGGCTATCAGTTCTCTCCCCTCTTTTATCCTTCCTCCCTGGGCAGGGGGAGTTAATAAAAATCCACCATGGTGCAATTAAATTGGGATGAAGCTTTCTGTCCCTTTTTCACTGCCCATGAGAAACAAGGATTCCTTGAAGCTCCATTATATCACACAGCCTTTTCCAGGACTTCATTTCACGGTACATGCAAAATTCCTGTTTTGAAGACAGAACATTTTTTTCCTCCCGGACTATGGCAATCTTGCCGCTCCAGGTCTGGTTTAAATGTTTTTTGGAAGTAAACCATGCAATAAGGTCTGGGCGCTCTGTCCAATTATTTTTTTTTCCGATTTCTTTTTCTAAGGGATGGTCGACCTATTGAGCTAACAATCAGAAGAAGGAAGCAAAGAGTTCATCTATCTTAACTGCAACGTAGTCATGCTCTGGATTTATGCAGCCCAGCCCAAATGTTCTTGAAAGTTCAAGAAAGAAATGCTGCTATGTATGAGAGACATAATCAACTCTGGGGTGCTCTCAGGTATATACCCCTAATTTCTCAAACAATTACTGACCAGTTGACCTATTGACTACCAGGTGGCAGTAAAAAGTTAGATTTCGTCTCCCTTCTCTGCCATCTAACGGTCATGCAGATATGGGCAGCTGAGATGCAGTTGCTGGAGAAGGGCTGTTGAAGGGCTAGATTCTGAAAGATCACTGATTTTTGTGTCAAATCTCCAGCATACATACAACTCTGATCATTCAAAAGAGTAGTAGAGGAAAAAAAATGTGGCTGTACTTTGATACCATATATGTACCAGTTTACACTCTAAGATGAACATTTTACAAAAACAATTTGTGAGGAGCAGAACTGAGGATCCAGGGCTCACTTAAGAGCAGTGTCCACACTGAAGATACTACTCCACAGAACAGCCCACAAAAGCACAGGAGCTGAGTCCTTTCAATTACATGCTTTAAGCCATTGGCAGGTTGATCAATTTCAGGGCTTCAGTTTTTACAAACTTGGTTAAAATGAAAAGTAAAAAAAAAAAGGAAGGGGCTGTGGAATCCAAGATTTTAATCTCCCTTATAGCCAAACCACCACTGCAATAGGGACTGAGCCCAAGGACCAGATGGAAGGAGGTGGTTCTGCAGCCAAGTAGATCACTCTTCCCATCACATCACCTCAAGCCTCCTCCATGGATTGTCCAGATGGGAAATAATCTTCTGTTTTCCTGGGGAAAACACTACTTCCATTCTTGGATCAGCTTCAGCCTGCCTTAGCAGTGGGCATCTTATGAGATGGAGACAAATGGTAACTGGGTTTTGTGCTATTGTAAGGCTGCACGAATGTGCCCTTAGAGTAGTTCACAAAATCCATTTACTGACAAAGTAAACAATTAATCAGCAGACAAATCTATACCTGAAAACATGCTTTAAGCCATGTCCTCTATCCATCTCTTTCTTTTTAATAAAGCAAACATCCCTTAATCATCAAACTACAGCTGCTGCAGTCAGACCATTCTGGCAAGCTTCCATATTGCACATGATTCATCCTGCCAACTTCATGACTCATAGTTCTGAAATCCACCTGAAGGTTACATAGACCAAATCCATGTCTATGTGCTTTGCACAACCACGTAAGTGCTTACCCAAAGCATAGTCACTTGTGTTCCCTTGCAGACATGGACTAAGACTGGTTCAAGTCCACTTTTAGCCATGGAGCTCACTGGGTGATTTTGGATCAGTCATTCTTTCTCAGCCCAATTTGCCTCATTAACTTAATTGTTGTTGGTCAAAATTGGTGGAGGGAATGTTATCTCTATGTTGCATTAGCTCCAGGAGGAAAGTACAATATAAACTTAAGAAATGATAAATAATTTGAGACCTCTAAATCTCACTAAACTCATTACGTGGGCTCGGATAAGGCTATTGCTCACTACTATCACATAGATAATATTAATCTACCTTAAAGCTGTCCAAAATGCAGTGGCACGCACAATACTGGACACACCATGATATGCCCACATAACACCACTGTTATGTGAGCTGTGCTAGCTCCAGTGGGCTCATGGGTGCAATTCAAGGTGCTGATTATTACCTTTGAAACCTTATATATCATGGGGCTAAGTTACTTGTGGGACCGCCAGTTCCTGATAGTTTCTGACCATCCCACTAGGACTGGCAAAGGAACATGTTCCAGATTACCTAGATGAAGCAGTGTTACTTGGTGGGCCCCAGGAAGCATGCCTTCTCTGTTATGTGCCTGTCTTGTGAAACAGCCTCCCCTTTGAGGTTCAGACAGCCCCAATCCCGTTACCCTTCTGGAAGGGCATTGGGGCTGGGATGGTGATGGAGCTCTGGTGGTTTCTTTGATGAGCTGATTTTTAGGAGCCTTGACCTAGTTTCTTTTTAATTGGCCTGTACAGTTGGTCTGTTCTGATTTCTGTTCACCATCCACAGTTCCTTGGGTGGATGGGCAGCTATATAAATTTGTTAAATAAAGCAGTTCTTGTCAGGATTTTCATACGATATTACATGCACAATTGCCGTGAAAACTATAATGCTTATTATTAAACTTTTCAGGTAAAAGTGTAGGTACAGATCTAGCCAAAAGTATTGGTACCCCTCAATACTTTTTCTCAACTTACTTGCTGTGAAATAAGTTGCAACTGACACAAGTAAATGACATCCACCATTCTTTATTCCATAGTCCATAGAGCAGACACTTTGCTTTTGATGTGTGACTAACATATTCTTGTAAATAATAAAACAAATGAAAATGGCATGGACATAATTATTGGTATCCCTAACCTGATATATTGTAGCACACCCTTTTGAGGCAATAACTGAAATCAAGCACTGTGTAGCTCTGAATAAGACCTTCTACACTTCTCAGTTGGCAATCTGTCCCATTCTTCTTCAGCAAACTGTTCCAGTTATCTTAGGTTTGATGGGTTCCTTCGCCCAAGTATGAATTTCAGCTCTTTCCACAAATGTTCTATTGGATTCAGATCAAGATTCACAGCAGGCCACTTCACAATGGTCCAATGTCTGCTTTTCAACCATTCTTGGGTTCTCCTAGATGTATGTTTTGGGACATTATCCTGCTGCAGGACCCATGACCTGTGACTGAGACAGAGCTTTCTAACATTGGGTATTATGTTTCACTATAGAATGCCTTGATAATCTTCTGATTTCATTGTGCCTTGCACAGATTCAAGACACCTGGTGCCAAAGGCAGCAAAGCAACATCATAACATTATGGAGCCTCTTCCATGCTTCATAGGCGGGGATGGTGTTCTTTCCTTTAAAAGCATATTCCGCCCCCCCCCCTTCTGTGAACATACTGCTGCTGTCACTTACCAAAAGCTCTAATTTTCTAATTATCCCAGAAGGACTATGGACTCTCAACATGCATTTTAGCAAACTCCAGTCTGGCTGTTTTTGGCCTTTCAGAATTGGGTTCTTCCTGGTCTCCTATGGAGGCTACTTTCAATCAGACAGCGACAGATGGTGTGACTTGATATTAATGCACCTTGATCTTAGAGATCAGCCAGGATCTGTTTTGAAGTTTTCCTTGATTCTTTCTCTACCATTTGAACTATCCTTCTGTTCAATCTGGGATCAATCTTCCTTTTATGGCCATGTCCAGGGAGAATGGGTACAGTCCCATGGACCTTAAACTTCTCAATAATATTAGCAACTGTGGTCACAGGAACATGAAGTTCTTTGGAGATGGCTTTGTAGCCTTTACTATGCTTGGCTATTACTTTCCTCCTTAGACAACTCTCTGCTTTTCTTTTTCATGTCCACTGTGCTGCACACAATGACACAAAATGCCTGAGTACTTTTCTCCATTTAAATAGGCTGAGGACTGATTATGAAATAGAAGACACCTGTGATACTAATTAAAGTAAATAGTCTGCTTGAGAGATCATAAAAATCTAGTAATGTCTTTTAACTTCTAAGGGGTACCAATAATTATGTCCATGCCGTTTTCATTTGCTTTATTATTTACAAAAAACATGTTAAACCATACATCAAAAGCAGAGTGTCTACACTATGAAATAAAGAATGGCAGCTGCCATTTACTTGTGTCACTTTCAACTTATTTCACAGCAAATTGGGATTCTTTGGGGAAAAGTAGAAGGGTAACTCTGGATAAATTCAAACTAGACTTTAACTCCAAATCTGGAAATATTTGTAAAGAATCTGCCTCTTTTACTGCCTAATTCTTGCATGAATACTGCTTCTTACTCGGTATCAAGAATTATCATAACCCTAGACAGACTATTAAGGAGAAGAAATCAACAGAATATTAATATTTTATTACAAAAAGTTGATATATAAGTTTTGCATTTAGTAAGTGCTCTAGAAACCATCTTTTTAGTCTTGGTGCTTCTGATGACAAGGAGATTTGCTCTTCTATTCATAACCTCTCTCCAAAAGCCTACGACACCCAATTAGTTTCCATTATCTTGCCCTACCCTATTTTTAAGGAGATCACCATTTATCCATGTCCCTCTCTACATCTCCTTTTCCTATAAGCCATGCTTAACACCAACTGCATGTTGCTTTTGAGACCCTGTTCTTTACATTTGTCTCTGTTTACTTCCAGTCTTATTTTTCTGCTCCAACCTGGATGTTTTCTCTGGAAAGAGAAATGTCCATCTAATGCCTCTGTGCATACCAGAAGTGCTCAACTGTACTTCTTAGAAATTTGTCAGGATCTATCATAATACTACATGTTATATTCTGAGTTTGACTGAGAGTATGACCAACCTGGGGCATATACAGTACTAGGTGACAAGCTTGCCCACTCAGTGGCAGTCCCACACTGCAGAATACTTCCCCTGGATGGTCCTGATCCTGCTAGCACATCAATTTTGTTCCAGTGTGTGGCCCTTAGTTTAGTTTAATGAGTGCCCATGATACTTACTGTTGACTCTTTTTTAATGATATTTTTAATCTTGTATTGATAACCCAGATTTTAAAACATTTAAAATCAGATATAAATATAACTTTCCTAGACACTCCAATCAGAAGGAAGAACAACTTCTTTCTCTATATTACAGCCAATATCATGCTAAGCAGTATACAGAAATCGGATATATGATTAAATAAGAGATAAACTATTCTGGTTATAAAAATAAACCTAGGTGAATCTTGGCATCCTGTTTTTCACCTTTCCTCTTCCTCAGATGCTTGAAAAGTCAATTAAACATAGTTTAGCATTATTTATACAACTGTAGTTATTAGATATGTTTTATAAAGATGGCTTATTTAAAAGCATCAAGGTTTGACACTGATTTATTTGAATAAAATTAAGACTAACTGCAAGTTGGTTGGGTTCAAATAAACTCTAAACGTAAGTGAAAGAAAATCAAAATCTTCTCTGTTAGCCAATCTAGAGAAAGTGAGAAGACTAAGTAATAGATGAATTTGAGATTGGGCTGGGATTCTTACTGTAAGAGTAAGCTATAGTTTTATTGTTCTATATGAAGTGGTTCCTGACAGTGTAGAAAATACTGGGCTTATTAGTTATAAACCCAATAAGCAAACAAACAAACAAACAAATAAATAAATAAAACGTTCTGAGACATTCATCATAGCACATATGAAGTAAGCCAGCTCACTGTAGGTTTTGACTAATGATATATGTGATATTAAATACAAACAAATGAAACTGCAAACAAAACTGGTAGTGCAACTTTCCTTCTAAGGGAACCTAAGATACCAGGACTAGCAGTATCACTCTTCTTTAAAAAAGGAAGAAAAATCAGTAAGAAAGACCATAAAGAATATGAAAAAGAAATCACATGTTTAATAATTAATACCCAATTGATGAACTTTCTCTCTTACCAGATTGAGGAATGGAGAGAACTAAAATTGAGTGGCAAATGTATCAATTATATTACTGGTTCCAGCACTTTCTGTGGTAATTGAATTGACCTTGGGATTTTTTTGGCATATAACACTGTATGAAACATTAATTTATTACTATATTTATATCTTCCTCCAATTACCAGACTCTGGGCAGTTCAAAACTGGGCTACAGGCTTAGTCAACAAAATATTTGTAGAATATATCTATTTCTTATACGATTGGAAATTTTTTTCACTGTTATTTCAAATCTTCAAAATTGCCTTGGGTGTACGTATCATCATCTGTACTTAAGTCCTACTGAAAAAAATGACAAGAAATACATGGATAGGGCGTAAAAGAAAACGTTAGCCAACTTACCCAATTTTTGCCCTCTCTTTAGTTTTGGAAGAGCCAGTTTTGGGCTTTTTGCTTTCTTTGTCTTTTGGTTTGGATTTAGCTTTTCTGCCCTTCTTTTCTTCTTTTCCCTCTGCTGAAACACTTGGGAAGTTTTCTGGACTCATTACTCGTGGAATGTTTCTCTCCCCTCTCTCTTTTGCTTTTGCTATTGCCTCAGATATGATGCGATTAGCTTTTTCCTGCTTACTTTCAGATTCCACTTTTTTCTTCTGTTTCTTCTCGAGCATTGATTTCACCTGGGTATTCTGCAACTTAGCATATGTCCCAGAACCATCTGCTTTCTTGTTGGAGGGAGGCTGCAAGAAAAAATAGGTTGCTTGTCTTAGATAAATATACTGATGTACTAAAAATCTCAGGACAAACTACACGTGAACCCAGAAGTAACAGTCAACATATGCATTGCTCCCAAATACATGATTCCAGCAGTGAATAAAAATTACATGCATTCTATGTACGTTTATACAGAGTAACTGTGCTCTAAGGGACTTGCTCCCTAGCAAGTTTTGAATTGCAGTTCAACAAAGCTGTTTGCAGTAGAAGTGAGGAAAAGCGATGGACTGTTCACCACCTCCAAAGCCTTCCATACCGGAATCGGCCAAGGAAGGAAGTGTGGGTAGGAATATTTCATCTCTTTTCTGGCGGTTCTTTTTAAAATTCCCTCTCTCATTCACTTTATAAGAGGGAAAACACCTAGAGCAGAGAGGCCCAACTCTGGGGCCTTTTAAAGAAACACAGGATTTTAAAATCCAGCACACCCATTCTCAGTCCTGTCTTGCTTTCAGGATGCTCCATTTAGAGCCTATCACCACACCTGAATTTTCTATGAATATACTGAGGTGGATTTGCTTCTTCATCCTCCGTCTGAGAGATTTCCATTAGTGAAAGAATACTTTGTTCCCATCGTATTTCCCTCCACCCAGTGGATCTGGAGGCCAGGACTGTTTTGTTAAACATCTAAAACTAGGTGCCTCTATGCAGATTCAATAAAAATGAAATGTTTAAGTTATACTACAAATTTGCTAAAAAAAAATTAGTATAAAAACAGTATTTGTGGAAATCATACTACTGAAGGAAAAAAAATCCAATATTTTGACTTCTATATACCAATATTTAGGGGGAAAAAACCCAAAGATATCTAGCTTTAGTTACAAGAAAATTGCTTCATATTAGGCCAGATTTATTTTGTGCAATAAAAAAAAAAATCAACATGTTAGAGGCAGATAACATTTTTAAGAATCTTCTCTCTCATTACAAATGGTAGTCATACTTAAATATAAAAGGCAGCAGTTACAAATGTGTAATTTAAAATTGTACATTAAATCATAAAAATGAAGTTTCTTTTGGGTTTTTAAAACTTTGTCAATGTATCTGAAAATTCTGGTGCATAAAATGTTAAAGGCTTGAAATCTTCAGAGCCTGAAGGATTAGCGAGCATGCACAGATACAGACCACAACAGAGCAGCAGCAGCCTGCTAGACAAGGGTCCAGTTTCCAGTCTACAAGCACAATTGTGGGTGGGCCATTAGAGCATTCCTGCCAGAACTCCATTTATCCATATTCTCCATTTTAATTTTTGTTTCCCTCTTTTCTGCTCTATTTCACCTCAGTCATAAATAAATTTCCACCTGTAGGCCCACTCATCTTTCATCACTGTGTATACAAATATAAAAGTATTTTAAATATATTTATTGTGCAACTGCTTATTAGTTAGCCTCATTACCTTCTCTCTTGTGTTTTTAAATGCAGTAACATAATTTCTTAATAGTGCTTTTTTGTGTCTGAACAAGCAGAATAGTATAAAGAACTCCATGTAAAGGAGCGCTTTGAATTACCCACTGCTCTAGCCACTGAGTAAACTTAAAGATGTCGAATGATGTACTGACGAAGCATCAAGAGAAATTATGCACTTACATAACACGCAAATTAACGTCATAACATAATCTGTACGTAAAGCATTGTTTTACATTCAGACACAAGGTATTTGTGTAGAATAAGGCTTTCACAGGAACACTATGCCTTTTACGCTAAGATGATCCCAAGCAATAAGTTATGAAAATACCCTTTGTTTAAAATTTCATGTACAACTGATTCACAGGAAACAGTTAAACGGTTCCTTTTGTTTGGCTGTTGTTTCTAAATGTACTCAGATTGAAATTCCTGATTGCAGCATAAACAATTACAGCAGCTTTTCTGAGACTGCATAGAAGACAGTTTTAAAAAGCACAATGCAAGGAATGGAAAGAATTTCCTATCCACAGAGGGGGGAGGGGAGGGGGGGAGGAGAGAGAGACAGATAAAGAGATAAATAATTATGTTATGTTCTCACCCATAAATGTGCCTCTCACTACAGCAAGGGGGAAAGTCAGGAATTTCCGAATACATTTTCAGGACAAATCCAGTTCGCTTCACTGGATACATTTTTCTATCAGAGCCTCATCAAAGCCTACCAACAGTGCTGCAGCATCGGGAAGAAAGCAGGGCTTATGATAGCTCGGTAAAATGCCACCTCAAGGCCTGCAAGCTACAACAAATCACCAAGATTCGAGAAAACAGCAACAAGCTCAAGATGGCGATGCAGCACGACTCCCGTAGCAGCAGCCAGTAATAAGGAAGGTTATTCAATCCCATTAGCCTTTTAGCCCAAAGAACCCCTCCTCCTCCCACTCATTCAAGCTTTCACTTACCCTTCCTCTTGGCCTCTTCACTGAAGACATTTTTGGCATTAGACAAAGGTTGCCCTCTGGTTTTTCACCACCCAAGGTAGCGTTCAAGAGAACAGCATTGAAAGAAGATTGCTAAATGGCCTATTTAGCAAGCCAAAAGCCAAGATAGACACAGCCTTCCACAAATACACATTGTGATTTATCAACATATTTCTTCCTTGACCAGCATAAGTCTCGTTCCTCTGCTAAACAAGAACACCATCAGCCATCCCGGAACTACGGGGTTTCAAAAATATCTGTAAGCAGAGCGCTAGATTCCAACAAAATACCAAAAGAAATGAATGCACAAAGCATCAAAATGCATCGGCGTGAATATTAGAGATGTCGTTAAAAATACTGACTCCTTCTGCGGAAGTAGGCCAGCAGATGGTGCTACCAGTTATTATTCCATTAGACTCTGCAATTTAACCCTCAATGGACTGTTCTTCCCTACATGTGGTAGAATGGTTAACTCTTACTCTTCCACCTTCTGCAATAGCTGAAATAATACTTTTATGTGCTACATATACGAGGAATATTTAAAATCTGACAAATAACCATTTCAATGGAATTCTGTCATTGTTTTATATTAACACCAGAGCTATTTTTTGTACTTGTGGTCAGGAACTGTACAATATTCTAGACCTAAGTATCTGCTATTACAAATTATCAGAATTTAACTTTATGTTTTCAGAAAGAATAGGAAAGGTTTTGTACAGTACAGGTAGTCCCTGGGTTAAGAACGCCTGGTTTATGGATGACCCATAGTTAAGAATGGAGCCTACCGTAGCAAAATTCGAGTTAAATACACAAATGATTTGCATTAAATACACAATGGTTTGAGTTAATTACACAATACTATTTATTATGATACAATAATGCTGTTCCGGCTTACATACAAATTCAACTTAAGGACAGACCTTGGGAACGGAACTTGTTCTTAAACTGGGACTACCTGTACTACTTTGTACTGGTGTTTAACCCCCGTTTCTTATACCACTTTTAACTTCTATTGTTTTGGTTTTGTGATATGTATATTCGGGGACAAATTGGGGACAAAATCGCCAGTTGCTCTATAGCATACTGGAGTCTGGGAAGAGACCTCAAGGTTGACCATGCCAGCATGACAGAGACACTGTGAAAGAAACCTGCACCACTATGACATCCAGCCAAGGAAACTAGAAGCTGTTGCTGCTGACAGAACCCGCTGACGAGCCCTGGGCTATGAAGCCTTCACCGGCTTTGAAGACAGGCGCCGCCAAACACTGACAGAAAAGCCCTGGTGGCGTCACAGGATAACACCCACAGTTACTACAACAATGGACTTCCAGTGCCCCCATTGGGGTACACTCTGCACTTCCAGACGGGGACTGCAGAGCCACCTCCGTGTCCACAGATGAACTGCACAACAGCGTGTCTTCTTCAAACCCGAAGGACTACCAACCATTTGGGGACAAATTAGGTAATCAAAAATACTTCCTAAAATATCATTCCCACATTCTGGTAAAGGAAGGAAACAAAATATTTATAATTACTATAATGGGGGAAAAAAAGAGTCTGAAGCCATGGAATTTATTTAAAGATTAAAAGCAAAAGGTTTTTAAAAATCATTTTTGGGTTGATCAATATTGATTATGCCTTATTAATATGCAACTGAATTAGACTTCCCTAATGGCATTTAAAAGAGATTTGCTACTAAGGCCAGTTAGAATTTTTGAGTATCTGGTGGGAAGCCAATTGGGTCTTTTAACTTTTAGATATTTTCCAAACTTTTGACAAATTTAATGACCTGTAAACCAGGACTGAACAATATTTCAGTAGCTGATGGTCACAGGTGTTTTTGGGTTTGTTTTTTTTCAGTCAAGGACTGCAGTAAACAGACCAATAACACAGTGGATAGGACACAATGAGTTTTGCTACTAAGGCCAGTTAGAACCTAATCAGCAAACTACAATATGTGGAGTCCTTGGAGCTCTCAGAGCTTGGTTGTTTACTTGCAGATGTTTCATTACGTGACCAGGTAACATCATCAGTGCTAGTGAGTGTGGGGTTTGCTGCCTGTTGCATCCTAGACCAAGCTAATCCAAAAATGCTAGGGAATTCCTGGAAGCTAGGGAATTCTGACAAATCAGTCATCAATAGACACATAGAGAAAAACCACATTTATACACCATTCAAAAGAGACAATAAAAAAGCTAAGAAGGAAACAAAAAGACCAGAATACATCCTCTCCAGTAGCCAACACTCAGATAAGCAGGGATTAACACCAGACATACAAACAAGCAGAAAACAATGTCCCAGTCAAGGAACTACCAAGGAGAAAACCATACCCCCACCAATACTGGCAGGGCAAGCTACGCATATGAACAGGGAGAAAACCTCACACTCACTAACACTGATGATGTTACCTAGTCACATAGTGAAACATCTCCAAGCAGACAACCAAGCTCAGAGAACACCAAGGACTCCACAGGTCAACCCTGAGCTACAGAGATTCTCTTCTATTGAAACCACAATATGGTGTATGAACCTAATCAGCAAGTCTTTTCCACCTGCCATAGTGGGATTGCATGTGTTGATATACAGGTACTGGGAGAAAGAAACAGCTGACACTGATTTGTATCATATTTACTTGGTGAAAATCAGAGGAAGTCTGTGTGGTCTGAATCCTTCTATGAGATTTAGATTATCCTAAAATTTAATCATTTATTTCAATAAAAAAGTCCATTTGCCTGTTGTAAAAGTATGCCAAACTCTAATCAGTTATTCACTTTTAAAAAGGTACATTTGCTCCATCTTTTCAAATAATTTCACAGGTGACAAGTATTGGAATCTTATCCAATAGAATTAACAATTTTTTTAAACAAGTCACCTATGCCGAAATATGAACACCCTATGCTATTGTCTTTTGTCAACTGTCTTGATATGTTTTATATGGCTGTAAGTTGCAGCTGTAATGAAATGCAAGTAAACGTTTTTAATATATTGATTTTAGAATGTTAAAGCTTCTTCAGGGCTATGTTTACTAGGTGAAATGGATAAAATTATAGATCAATAAAATTTCAGGTTCAGAAGTGGTATAGTTCAAACAAGCTTTTGCTTTATTTAATGAACGAAACTTAACTACTATTTGGCCATTTGTGACCAAATGTCCAGGCTAAAATAAAAAACAAATTAAACAAAAATCCTCATATCCTACTTTTACACTTTACAGAGGCACCAGCCCGCACAATGCTAGAAATGGGATACCTGGCGTCATGGATTCTGATTTCAGGTATAGAAGAGTTCTTATGTTTTTGGATGAACGCATTTTATCATCTAATCAAAATGCTGCACCTACTTCCAAAAAACAGTGAATTACAATCAGTGGTTTTATTTACACATTAATTTAGAATTTAAGAATTTTGGCTTAGAGTGAATAAATAAGCCTGCTTCCTCTAAAAACAAATCAGGAAAACTCCAGGGCTGGTTTGGTTAGCACAGAGTTTGTTACACCCCAACTAGAAATCAAAACCCAAGAACAAACCATAGGTTCTGATTCCGACTTGCAACGATAAGCACAAGCCAGAAATTCTAATTTAGATAACACTAAATCAGACAGTTCTACACTACTGAAGTGGACAAGAAAACCTCTGATCATATAATATTTTGGGTGAACATCAAAGTCCTTCCTTCCTTAGCCCAAAGTAACTATATGAAGACAATCATGTTCTTGCTTACAGTCCTGGACATCTTCCACAAAGCATGGTATTGCCTAGTTTGAAGAAATATTCCTTTCAGATCTATGTCTTCCATGGTACTTATGATAGCAAAGCTACATATTTAGTTATGAAATCACAAAGATGAAAAAAAGAATGGAAAATAAGTTGCAAGATCATACTGCAAGAGAGAGAAGATCACAAAGCACAATGGAAAGGAACTGCTGTAAACAATATTTAAAAAGTTACACACACTATGAAATCAATGGAATTACTGAGGTTAATGTATTTTCATTAATGGTTGCAGAGACAAAGAATAAGGCTTAAGCTGACCAAATTACATAGAAATACATAAAAAATTAAACTTTTCAAATTCCCAATTATGAATATTGAATTAAAAAACAAAGTACGACTACCTTAACAAATCCACCCTTTCCTAAAATAAGACACTTCTATTCACTGCTTATTAGATACTTCTAGAGAATAATGAAATGCATTCAGATTCAGGGCATTCCTAAGTATATTTACAAACAAAAGTTTAATACATTTTAACGGGATTTGCTTTCAAGTGATTGTATTAGAACTGCTGGGAAAAAAGGAGAAGACAGATCTAAGGAATAAGAGAGACAAGACAAATTCAGAAAAGAAAAAAAGGGGGAATCGGAAATAAATAGATGATCACATCTGATGCTTATCTCAGCTGAACCAATAATTGGCATACAGTCTCAAGAGGATTGCCTGCTCCAGTCTTATTGATTCTCATGAACTAATTTTGAAAGAAATGCAATGTGCAAACACTGAAGATTAAAACATAGTGTGATATAGACTTAAAATTAAAAATACCTCAGTCAAATTTCGTTCAGCAGAAATTTTAACAGACAAAACTGTCAACAGTCAGCACTACTTCATTAAGTAAGGGACAAATGACTGAATTGGTTTGGACTCAGGATAACCATGGTTTATTATTATGGAAATGTGCTACAATAAATCTCAGGCTCATGTATTCCCCCTTTCTCACAATTCTCTGACCTGAGCACAAGTTCTTACTTCTATGCATGACAATCTGTATTCAATTTTAATATAGTTTGTTTGAAACTTGCCAATTTCATACTATGGTTTCTAAAGGTGGCTTGTTTCAATATATCAATATGGTTCAAAGTTCTGTTGTATTTCAAAACCATTATTAATAAAAATTAGTAAAGTTCACATTAGAGAAAGAAAAGCAGAAAATGTAGGTGGGAAAGAAGAGTCTAAACCTTGTTAGGGTTTGCTCTCATCACAGTAAATCATCCTTCAGATATGTGGACTTCAGTTATGAGAATTCTCAGCAATTAGCATGTTGGATGGGGAAATCTGGGAGTTCACATAACTTATGTAAGTTTTGGAAATTTGTTTTTATATTACATTTGTTTCAGAAAACTATTTTTCAACAGAATTATGTTAAATCTCAATTCAGATGCAGCTTTGACCTTTGTTTAATCTGACTTCGATCCCACAGCATACTCTTTAGATATGCTGCCATGATCCATGAATTCCAACTTATTACCGTCCCTTTCCCACTGCTTCTTGGTATCTACTTCCTGTTTATACTTTGCCTTAAGGAGGTACAGAGGACGCCAAGAGCATGAAAACTACTGTTAATGACTCTGCTTTCGGTTACTGAGTTTCCTGGCAGCGCAAAGCAGCTTCTGCAGCATAGGACAAGAAATAGCTAGGATCATATTTCAATTCTGACTGCCAGTCCAGGACAAAAAAATGTTCTCCTAATACAGAACTGGCGACAGAGACAACCACTGTCTTGAGACTTCAAAAGTATTATATTAATAAAAATCCATGTCGACATTTTTGCAATATATTTATACTGTGATGGCTAACTTGTACATATCAAAAGAGTGTGGAAATTGGTGCCTGTTCACTTTTGATAATAACATTATGCAGAATTCTATTATTGTAGGCTATGGTACTATAGAATTCATTTTATTGATCTAATCAAGAGGATAAACTAAATGTCACTGATTTCTTTTAGGAAAATTTATTTCTCTCTCCCCTAGACATCCTAGACCTTTCTGTATATGTCTTCACAATAACAGGCTGGTACTAAAATATTACACACAGTGTAGAACCCCTAACATAGAAAGACTTAAGTAACTAATGGACAACTTAAGTCCTATTAATTTCAATAGCTCTACTCTAAGTCTGACCAAGTCTGGATCCTATCCGTTCTTATTGATTTATGGGCCACTATATCATCCATCTATCTTTTGCATAAAGTTTCATTTAAATATTCATGCTACATTCATATATGACTTTCTCTGGAAGCATTCTTTGCATAATGTTTCATCAGTGTCTTAAAAATTACAAAAATCCCTACGTGCATTAAGACAGTAACATTTAGCACACTGACTAATTCATTAACTCTGCATATCTGATATACAGAAGAAATCAATATACATGCTAATGCCTGCTCAACAGTTATTAAATCATTAGAAAACCTGTAATTTGTAATGGCCATCCAAGGAAGGGAAGCTATATAACTTAAGACTTCTAAAAAAAATCATTCCCCTGATTTTTAGTGACAAAGCATTGCCTCTAGGATAACACTTCAGGGTCATGTCCTCAAGATATCCTGTTGCATATTTCAAGGTAAAAATGTGTATACAGTATTCCAACTGTATAGTACTGTACTACCCAAAGTTATATTCTGTCACCTAAAAAAAATGAAATAACACTAAAGTGAAGAAATCACCTCTATTTAAAGTTTTGATTAAATTTCATTAGTAACTGACTGAAAATCAAAATGTCTTCTTTGCATGTCATAATATACCTATATGTTGGGGAAATAAACTTTTGAACATAAAGCAGGCTGAAAATGCTAAGGTCAACTGGAATACTGGAAAGGCGACATTTCTGTCTATCCATCCACATATACAACCCTTGCTGTGTCTGTATTAGCTAATATTTTGGTTAAAAAGCTGCATGTACAACACTAAAAAAGGATGTACCTAAATAAAAATAGTTTTTAAAGAGACATGTTTGGGAGGCATTTAAAAATTTCTAATATATTTGATTATTATCTCAATAATTCTTTTTTCTTCCAGTTTACACCATAAAGTTCAACAGTTAGCAAAACTGAAAGTACAAATACAAATTACAATCTGCCAAGTGACATAGGTGAAGCTTAAAAATGTGTGTTCTACTTCTTTTGCAAACTATGGCAGAAAACTGTAATTTCCGAAATGGACATAAATTTTAATGTATTATGCCATTCAGTATTCATTCCATCACAAATAATTAAAACCTTGTTTAACAAAACTCTAGATTTATGCATGCATAAATATCTTCAGCAGAGTTACTAATTAGTTCTGATTTTGCCAGTTAGCATTGGCTAATAGCACAAGAAGGAATAAGCTAGTCACAGCACAATCCTACTCTATAACATTATTATTTACCTGGCCTTGAGCACTGACATGCTTCCGCTCTTGCTGATGTAGATTAGAACCAGGAGGATACCAAGGATGATTGCAGTTTTGAGACTGAGTCCGAAGAAGGTTTGTTTGTGGGACTATGCGTTGTTCCAGTTGATGTTCTAAATCATTACTTGGGGTGTCCTGAACAAATGCAGATTCATCAAACTGGGGAAGGAGATCTTCATGAAGGAGGGCTTCTGGGTCAAGTTCTGTAAATGATTCAGTTTGAGACTCCACCTGATGAAGCAAATTCTCATCCAAAGATGAAAAACCATTACCCTCTATAGGATCACTGAAGTGGCTTAACTGAGGACCAGAACCAGTAGGGGTAGAAAAATTAATGTTCACCGCTGATAGTTTTGAACTACTGAAGTTGCCCTGAGGTTGTGCTGAATGCAACACATGGAAATTATTTGAATTCAGTGATGTACTTGAATTAAGGATGCTATCTGAATCTTCTTGTTTGGTCCCTCTTCGAGTTGCAAAGGCATCACTTCCAGAAAAGTCAGATAGAGGATGAGTTTGTTGACCAACAGAAAGAGTTGCAGAAGACTGAAGAAGACTGGTGGGAGAGATCTGGTTACTATTATAGGAAAAAGGAGGAGAAAACTGTGTATTAATGGAGCATGATGTTATAGTAGGAGAGGGTCCATCATAGTTTCCTTCTTGATTTCCACAAAAGTGGGGTGAGTTATTTGTCGTCTGAGAAAATGATGGCATAGAGATGGACTGTTGTGATTTTGATATATCAACAGCTTGGGATGGATGGGGAACATTAGTTCTACATGAAACAGATGCATTAACCTCCATGAAACCTTCAGACTGATTCTGAGTATTCTCTCCTGTATTAACACCATTTCTGCTCTGCTGCGACTGCAACGAGGCACACGAATGATGCTGTTCACTGGCCTGAAATAAGGCAAAACTGTGGTGTGCTACAAAGGTTTTATTTTGCTGCATAGACTGTGTATGTCCTCGGTGAAATGGAGATCCATTCTGATTAGAAACACTGCTTGAAGTTTGGTGTCCCCACATTGGACTTCCATCTGCTACATCAGGAAACAATCCATTAGCTTGATTTTGTGGATGAACAGGAGAGCAATTAAACTCAGAATGTGGTGATAAAACATTTTCAACTGGACTACTGAAGGATTGATTTACTTGAAGTTTCAGAGAATCATACTGGTTTAGATGATCATAATCATTCATCTTTTGTTGAGTTTGCGTCTCCTGCACATGGTTTAAAGAATCAATCTGTAAAGGCTCAAACTCTGCACCCAAGTTCAATTCATCAACAAGTGAAACAGGCCCAGTTTGTACAAAGGCATCATCTGACAAACCTTCTAAAGTATCACTAAAAAGATTGGCATCATCAAAAAAATCCATCATAGGATCTGTCATCTTGATATATTTGTGTTACTTTGCCACTACCACAAATGGAGTTAGCAAGTCTTACGGCAGCACACACCAGCACAGTAATTTTTTCAGTGGGAAGCACCTTATCTAAGCCATGTTGACATCCACCAGCATTTTTGTAGAAATAAGATCTTGAAGTGTTTTAAATATCCTAGGCAAAAAGGGAAAAAACAGTTAAACGGTTTGGAATATCTTTTTAATCACTATATATTATAGCTTTAATCATTATACCTATTAGATGACACTTAAATACAGAAAAGTTCTTATACAATAAACATATTTTAAATCCATGACTTAAATTTGTTTTAGTCAAGTTTTTGATACATGTTCCAAACAATGCATACTAACAGCTTTCTGTAATAAATATTGTTGTGAGCTGCCCAGAATTGTTGAGAGTCAGGTGGCATACAAGTTTAATAAACTGTATTATTGCTATTATATATTAATGTGAATTAAAAATATACCCACTTTTAGTACACATGAACATAACCCAAAATCTCCGGTACACAAAGCAACTTTTTTTGTTTGGCAAAGCAACTGTGAACTTTAAGGATTTTGGCTGAGGTCTTTTTTATATATATGAAAGTAAAGTAAGCAAGCTCAGTTCAATTCCCAAGAATCCCCAGAAAAGGTAGTTGCTACTGGGGTAAAATGTATTCCTTAGGGATATGGAAAATAAATGTTGACGTGGTTGAAGGAATGTATTCATAGTGTATATAACAATATATACAACAGAATAACACATTGCTTTACATTTATAATGCTTGATTTCAATGTTTTGCCCCAGTTCATTCTTTTCCATATTGATGTTATATTTAACTCAAGTATGTTTTCTAGAAAACATAGGTTTAGTTTAAGGAGAGCAGGTTCATACATCGTGATAAATCATAAGGCAGGTATTTGGTTTTGGCTTTGCATGTTGTATGAATTCATTCACAGTATGAACACATTAACACTGTAACTGAAATTTCATCATAAACACTTTCTGATATCTTCATACTGGTATGTTTCTAAATATATTTTTATGAATATATGTATCTGTGCATGTAAAAAGTTACATATCCATAGCACTTATGAAGAACTTCCATACTAATAAGTTCTCTACATTAACATTTTTAGATATCTGCTGTACTATGACAAAGCTGGCATATCTATTCATTAAGTTATCTGCAGCAGTTCCACAGCAATGTCATTCATAAACCATCTCATTATTTGCATTCTTCTGTTTTCAATTATTATGTTCCTTCAGCCCCATTTTTAAAGATATTTCTGGCTATCAAAAGTAAAAAAGAATGTACAAAATCAGCAACAGCAAGTCCAACTAGGAAAATCAAACCAACAAGTTAATGCAGTTGTGAATTGTTGTTTTGCTAACTTTGTGCAAGCTTAAATATTACCACTACAGACTCTATTTTCAGCATTTCATTTCTAGTAAAGGTACTGTATAAAAATCATCCCTGCCAAATGGATAACATTTTATGAATCTGATGAAGTTTAATCCTTGAAAACTTGCATTATTACAAATTTGACCTTTTTATGCCATCGTTCCTGCAACCAATGACACAGTTGTTGCAATCAACAAACATGGTTACCGTTTTGGAAATGGTTCCAGTGGAGGCTTATGTTGTGTAACAATTAACACCTTCCAATCAGAGAAAACTTCCCTCACTGCTACCACTTCAGAGAAAAAGTCTTCTGATACTGACTCCCCAAACTGTGTGTAGAGTTCCATTAAGTTTCCACAATCTAAATCAAGCTTCCCCAGATTTTTTTCTACGGCTGCTGGTAGAGGGTGTCACTTCGCTGATTAAAGCAGTGCCTGCCAACGACTCATAAAAGGGACTTTCACACAAGTGCCAGCATGGAACATGGGTGGACAAGGACATGCAAAGTACTGGTCTATCCACTTCTAATGCTTCCTCACCACTGCTTAATGTAAAACCCACTGATGAGCTAGGTTTCTCACCTTAAAACAAAAAAGGCCTACTCTTTCTGAAAGGTATAGGTTGCTCTAAGAGCTTTAGGAACTGGTGCAGATGCTTTTGAATGTTACTCTGCAGACTAAAAGCAGCTTAGATAGTGCTTCCTGCCTGGTGAATTTAACCTGCTTCGTAATACCAGAACATGGCTTCTCTCTCATTTTGTCGCTTCCCTGTCTAGTCACTTCCTTCCCTTGCTTCCTCTCTGTCTGGTTTCATTCCCTCCTTTCTTTTTCCTTTCCTTCCCAGTGCAGCTTTGTTGTTTCTTTTCTTCTGCAAGGAGGAGAGAGTGGAATATGAGTGCGCTTAGTGCATTTCTATGTATAAGGTACAATTATTTGCATATGCAAGATTAATTAATTTACAAAATAACTATTCTATTTTACATGCCATTAATGTTACCTAGTACTTATTAATTCAATTAATATAAATTTATATTTGTGTCCTGACCCGGCCCTTTTTGGACTGTGACTTCTGGCATACATACTATGTAACTGCTTACATGTAAAAGCTTGTATTTATTATATTGAAAAGACTTAGTTGTCATTCATTTCCAACAATATTCAGGGAACAGGCACAGAGTTTCTTATTTCTGAAAAAAATATTTCCAAATTGAATGGGGCAGACTCTCAGCTGCCCCTTGCTGACCTGCTTCTTTTCTGAAGGCCTGAAGTGCAAATTTGAAGCAAATGCTTGACACTTACTCTTGAAAATACCTTGTTTGCAGAAATATAATATAAAAATATTCCTAGTAATACAGAGTATTTATAATGCAACAGTAGCTCATAGTGAATATTAGCCTCTACTAATAATTATTTGCATTAAAGAACAGGAAGAACTGTCTGGTATCCAAGTTTCCCTTTCTAGGGAAGACTGTCAAAATGGCAGTGTTGGGGAACCATCCTAGAAGGAACATATATGGACTCTTTCCATTTGGGGTTCAGCCCTGGATATGGGATGGAGACTGTGTTGCTTGCTTTAGAGGATGACCTTTGTTGAGACCTGATAGGCGTATGGCTGTCCTGGTCTCCTTAGATCCTGCTGACCATGGCACCCTACTGGACCGTCTGAGGGGACTGGTGGCAATGGGTTGCAGTGATTCCATTCCTTCCTCAGAGGATGGTCCCAGTTGGTGGTGGGGTGGAGAAGAGGACGACCCAGAGGTCATTCTCTTATGGAGTGCTTTGGGGTGGTTCTCTTCCCTTTTCTATCTACATGAAGTCACTGGGGAAGGTAATTCAACAGAACAGGATTTGATATCATCAATATGCTGATGACAGCCACCTTTACGTCACCACCTTAGCCATGCTGGAAATGCCACTGCGTTGCTAGGTAGTCCTAATGGTCTGAATGGGACACAACAGGCTAAAGCTGAACCCAAGCAAAACAGCGCTATTTCCACTGGGGCTCTCTGTCTGCTCCAATGTTATCTCTTCATGTGGAGGCACTAGCTCTGAAGAAGCAGGTCCACAATTTGGGGATTATCCTAGACTTGCGGCTTCCTTCTTGAATGGCAGGGGATGGCTGTAACCGGGTAGGCCTTGGCACAACTTTGACTGGTATGCCAACTGCAGCCATATCTATGGCAGGAGGACCTTGCTACAGTGGATCCTGCCCTGATCACTACCTGTTTCAACTACTTTAACATGTTCTATTTGGAGCTGCCTTTAAAAACTTAGAAGCTACAAATGGTCCAGAAGGCAATAGTTTGTATGCTCACAAACACTCAATATGGGGATCACACTGTATCCTTGCTACAGACCCAACACTGGCTACCAATGAGCTTCTAATGCAATTTAAAGTACTAGTTTTAATCTATAAAGCTCTCTATGGCTTGGCACCAGATTACCGTCAGGATACATTCCCCAGATACAATCAGTCAAAACTAGATCATCTTTTCAAGAGAAGCTTGTGGTTCCCCTCTCCGGGAGGTAGGGGGAATGAGGCCAGGAGGCCCTGTTTCTTGGGGGCAATGCTGGCCCTTTAGAATGGCCTCCAGGTTGAAACTAGATTGCTGCCCTCCCTAATTGCCTTCTGCAAACAGCTTAAAACAGAGGCTCTTTCATAGAACATTTGGGGACTGCTGCCATTTATTGTTACTTTCTTGTTGTGTTTGTATTACATTTTGGGGTTTTTTTAGAGCTCATTCTAAGAGTGATTTGGAGGGTATCCAACAATTGCAAACAGTCTTTTATGGTCTACCAGTAAATATTACTTCTGCTATATATTTTCCAAAATATATTATTTCTTTAATAAGTTAGAATTTGATTATTAATTTCCTAAGTAAGTAAAAATAAGAAAAAAGCATCCTTACCCATTAATACATAGCACATTTCTGTTGCAAAAGTTTTACTTAATCCTGGGAAATATTTGGTCCCTGATGTAGTTCAGTAACATTACAGATCTGAAAGATAAGTAACAGTTTTTAAGCAAATCAGTTATAGCACAATTTTCCCCTCACCTACTTTGAGTACCACAATTTTGCTTGTATGAAAAATGTTAGCCTGAAAATACAAAACCTGGACATTGAAGCTAGACATTGCACATTTCTGCAGATATAAAATAAACAATCCTGAAATATTAGTACTAGTATCATATTTTATCATACAGCACTGGTGGAAAAGCTATACTTTAATCTCATTAGAAGTACATGTCCCAGTACTACCAATCTTAAATAGCTCTTAATTAAAGCACATTTTAATTAAACAAAGCAAACATTGCTTCCAGCAAAACGATCTAACACCATGGCCCAATAGATTTAAGCACAATTTAAATTTTAACATAGAAACAACAAGATCAAGAATGTTTTGGAGATTTAGAGCTCCCATTAGAGTTGTTTGATTGATCTCTCACTCAAGCTTAAAGGCCAGGCTGTGGAGCTACTGTACTTTGTAAATTCTGGTAAAAAAGCATCCATTGGTTAATGCTAAACTCAGAACAATCTAATACTACACCATAGCCAGTGTTGAACATGGGTAGAATGGGAAAGAATCTAAGCAATAGCAC